TCTATTAAGAGGTCATTTTTTATAAGTTGGTAAAAAAAAAAAAAAAGAATCTGCTTCTGTGCAATATCTCAACATTATTTCAAAATCTCTACTATTTTAATACCTTTTTTTTTTCCACATGTAGAAGATTGTCTCTATTTTATTGAACTTTTCAACCGTGTTCTGTAACTTTATCTTGTTTTGTTTTTTTTTATCTCAGTCAATAAAGTCTAATCTGATCTGATCTGATCTTCAAACTCTCTCACTTTTACAGTTGTTGTTTTTTTCTTTTTCCTGTTCAAACTAACACGCAGCCTGGCTGTAATAGCAGCCAGCAGCCACTAGGTGAAGGCGATATTTTTAATGGCGTTATCTCCTCTGACGTCCTGAAGTGTTCGAAACAAATCTGTAAGAACGACAGCTTGTGTGTGTGTGTGTTTGAGTGTGTGTGTGTTTGTGTATGATGTAGGGATTGAAAGTGACAGCCGAGCAGCTCCTGTAAATGTGTGTGTGTGTGTGTGTGTGTGTACCCTAACATCAAAGCCGACTGTGGCTCCTGTTGTTGTGGCTTCTGTTAAGCCCCCCATCCCCCCCCCCGGCCAAGTCACAGACACACTGGCTCCAAATGAGGGCCCCCCCCCGACCCCTCCCTCCAGCCTCTGAGTGTGTGTGAGTGTGTGTGTGTGTGTGAACTAGTGCTGTTTGTTGTACCTGTCAAAACACGCTTTGTTCACTGAACAACAACAACAACAACAACAACAACAACAACAACAACTCCACTCTTGTTATCCAGGTCTAATGTCCTGATCACCGTCATCCAATCACAGCTGCTGCTGCTGCTGCTGCCCCCTGGATTTTAGAGGAGGTACTTTCATAATCTGTGTTTACTGCATATCCTTGTGTACACCTGCGTACATCTGTGTACATCTGTGTACACCTGTGTACATCTGTGTACACCTGTGTACACCTGTGTACACCTGTGTACATCTGTGTACATCTGTGTACATCTGTGTACATCTGTGTACATCTGTGTACAACTCCACTGTTGTGTTTCAGACTTGAAGTGTGAGTGAAAAAAACCAAACATCAGTTGGAGCCTCAACAACAACAAACACCTCTCAGCTTCTTCTTCTTCTACTGTTGTCTCCTACTGCAGTGAAAGAAC